CCTATCGATGCGTGGCATTGTTAGTAGCTAGAGTTTAGACCCTTTTTATTCCAATTGTGGGGCGGGTGGATTTCCTTAGTTTTTTTTTAACCTGTCCTTTTTCTGTCCTTTTCAGTGCTGGTCTCAGAACCGCCGTTCGAAATGGCGCAAGAGCTTGATCACGGATCACGAGAGCAATATTCCATGCCATTTACCAGCCACCCTTTGTTTTTACACTTTGTAAACGAAGCGGCAAAAATGTGAAAAAATAGTTAATAAACTGTTGCTAGGTCATGTAACATGAAACGCTTTCAGCTCAAGTAATTGCACAAAATCAATTAGCTTACCAATCCCTTACTCAGCTGGTGCTTGACGATAACATGGTTCGAAAACCTTTTTATGTCGACATCCTCTAGTTTAACAATGATTCCTACTTTTCTCTGTATTCATTCTCCTTATAATTCACGGGAAAAAAAAACTTGCGTAAAAATAGATTTGTTGATTTCAACTGTCACTGTAATCGCGGCCGCATGCCCTATTGGTCTTTGTATGAGGCGTGACCCAAGGGTCTGTACTTGGGCCACTCCTGTTTCTCCTTCATGAGAACGATCTACTTGATATCCCACAAAGTGCTAACGGGCAATCTGGGCAATCCCCGTAGCTTGATCTTGAACACATAAGCAAGCCGTGTGATCACAGGCAAAAAGGTCTTAATTACTTGGTGCGGGAGACTTTTTGTTATCAGACATGCTAGCCTGTTTCACTACCGATCATCACTAGTCCGATATCCCGTTAAGGCGACGGAAGCATTGAAGGATCTTTGGGTTCAAGTCAGAGAAAATCTGAAATGGGACTCCCAAGTGCTGCGGTAGCTTGTTCGAAGGTCAATAAGATGCTAGGGCTTTATCTATAGCATATTGAGCAACTTTTCATAACTAAGAGTTAAAAAGCTGTTCCACCTTAATCCCATGTAATGTTCGTGCTAAAACGCAACATTTCGTTGAAAATACGAATATTGTATTCAGCAATCGCGGTTAGCCCTTTGGTTAACTATTTGAAACAAGGACGCAACTGGTAGCCCTTAATTGGGCCGGCTGCCTTTGGAGCTTGATGCAGCAGTCGATTCCATGGTATTTAGCAACCGGCTTAAGTGACTGTCTACCCGTAGTTTCCCTTACACTTAATAGTACGTCTACCTGCACAGAAAGATTTTACTTAGCAGCTATTTTGTCCATAATTGTTTCAAGCCTAAATGAAGCGGTTATGAGCATAAAAAGTTCATAAACCGTTGCTAAGTTAGTGGCACCTGAAATGGTTTCCCATAATTATCAAACTATACCATTATTAGGCCTCATGGAAAACAGAACTTTTTAAGGCCGGTATTATTTAGTCGAGCAATGATTCCAGCTTTTTGTGAATTTGCTCTTCTACTATTTTATATTGTTACCAGCGCTTCCTTTGCAGCTAATTGCAGGCTAACTCCGATAACAAATTTAGCAACCGGCTCAACTTTAACAGGCGACCCTTTAAAAGTGCGTTTAGTTCATCTACCTTCACAGAAAGATGTAACTTACCAGCCATCTTAACTTATTCATATTGCTCCATCGCTAAATGAAGCAATAAGAATAAGCTTTAATAGTTCATAAATCGGTGCTATATTATTGGCACAAAAAATGCTTTCAGTTCAAGTAGCTGCCTATCCAAAAAAATTCCGATCATGGCCAGAGTACAGAGCTCGAGAACTTTTTATCGCTGGGCGGGCACCTTTTATTCGAACAATGATCCGAGTAATTTATGAAATTATTCCTCTAGTAATATATGGGCAAAAGAAGCTTAATGTTGTAAAACTACGCAAATTAAGGTTGAAACTGATTTCATGAAAAATCTGTTAAATTCAAAGGCAATTGCACTTGAGGTCTGGCTTACCATTTGGAGTTTTGTCTTTGTCCCATCAAAAGACGTGCCCCAAGGGTCAATACTAGGACCACCATTGTTCCTCGTGTATGTGAACAACCTATATACCTGACGTTAGTTTGCGATTTCAACATCTGATGCCTTCTTTAATTTGTTGACGATTGAATGCGTCACCGAGCGATTAAAACCATCTAGAGTATGGAGTTAAGACCTTGACCACATTAGCCTTGCAGTGATTTCTGGAAACAGGATCTTAGTCCATCTAAGCGCGGGCTACTTTCTGTTACCAAAAATGCTAGCCGTACCATTTTCAGCTTTCCCTCGTCACTTAAACAATGTCTCAGTTAAGATAAAAATGCGGAGGGACCATGGAGTTTTAGTTATAAAACCTCCGAAATGGAACTCCCAAGTGCTGACATGGCTTTATCCGGAAGCTAGCCTCCGACATTCACGATAAGCGAGTCCGCAAGTTGCTTCGTACATTAGTAGTTCACAGGAGCCTTGCCTACTGCTCGCAGGTGTGCCCCTCTCGCCTTGACATTAAAAGATTTCAGTGGCCCGCGACTAAACTTCCGCACCGGTCGGAAGTTAGTGTATATCTACATAAGAAAGTTATCTCTGTATATTCTGGCTTGCCTCGAGTAGCTTTGGGCTATCGCCAAGCCAGCCTAATCATCCCGTAAAATTGAAGTTAAATAAAGGAATAAACTTTAAAGTTAGTAATTAGAAGAGGTTTGAAATTTGGTCTGCTAACACATTACTATATTATTGGCAAAAACCCCTAGATCTCAGGTCTCAGTTTTCAAAATCTGGATAGCGCTATTCAATGGATAAATCCCTATCTACCGCATAAATATCAGGGAAGCCAATTGCGTTATCTACTGGATAGATGTTTATCCAGTGGATAGCACTATCCACCACCGTTTGAACAACAGGGGGTTTAAATTCTAGGTCAGCCTGCTAGACATCTTTTATCAATTGTAAATCCCACCAGACTCAGGGTCGACAAACTTCTGTAAAGGTGTTCGCCAGTACTGTCATTTTTCATAACAATTTTACTGCAGAGCCCCAAGAACAGGGAATACTTCACATTCACATCTCTCGGACATTGACTGTATACTAGGGATAGGTAAAGAGCTTTTCAAATAGTCTTTCTTTGGCTAAGAAAGTTAATTTTAATTTCAACGGAAGATAGTCATCAGATAATCGTTATGGAATCCTTAAATCATTTTTAACGTGTTATTACAACTTTTGATAGCTTTACTGTTGAAACTTTGAAGTACGAATATTGTATCCAGCAACCGAGGTTAGCATTTTGAATGGGTAAATGACTTGAAATAAAACGCAAGTGGGAGAAAGTCGTTATACTAGGGTCAGCTCCTTTATTGTTAGTTACAACCTCATTTCAATAAACAGCATAGTAACCAGCGCAAGTAAAAGGCTACCTGCCGTTTCCAGTGGAAACTAAAGTGCTTTCAGTACCTTCCCAGAATGATGTCATCGTCTTGGCAGCCATCTCATCCATATTGTTCCAAAGCTAAATGAAGCGGTAAGAATGCACATAAATACTTCATAAACGCTCGCTTGATTATTACCGCTTGAAGCTCAAGTCACTGGACCGAAAAATAACGCATTAGCTAATACCAGTCATTGCTCCAATGGGGCTCATTGTCAACTGTACCCATTCTTCTCGTAACTTATCAGCAAAAACAAGAGGTTGTCATTGAGCCAACAATTAAATCGGGTGATTTCGACAGCAGTTGTACAAATCGGGATCTCATGGCCGTAATGAAGGTCACAAGCAGCATAAGTAGTCTTACCAACATTCCCTCATTAATGATGTATGGAGCAATTATATTGTTTTAACCTAGAGAAACAGCTCGGTTAGCTAGATTAAATAAGTGCTCTCCAAAGTTACTAGGTAACAAGCATCCATAATTTAAAATGATTCTGGGAAAATTCTTTAACTAGAGAGGGGCAAACTCTGTTCTTGTAGTCTTCTGCTTGGATCTATCAAAGAGGTAAGTGTGAGTCATGCAAACATTTTTTTCTCCAATTTCTTATAAAGCTTACCATTCTATTGTCAGTTTTTGCATTTAACTGATTTTACGACGAAAACAGGATATTTTATCCCTTTTTAGAGGAATGATTTCGCGAAAACTTGCTTCTTAAGCCAAATAAAAAGTCCGTAACAACTCATTTCCGTAAACTGTCGGCATATTAGAGAATTGTTCGAGTTCAAGAACAGTTTTCTCCAACAAAGAGCTAACAAAAACACTACGACTTTATGGATTTCTGCGTTTTATTTTAGTGATGAAGATCTCCTCTTTTTTACAGTAATCACCGTCACTTCCTACACAACTCTTTCTCAACTTTTAATTTCTCTCGAAGCCACTTCCGATTTGGTTACAGAAGCATTGATTTAAGCGAAAAAACCGCCTAGTGATCCATGATTGGTTCGCTTAACCATTATGTTTATTCTGTCTTGGACCTGTACAGCACCGGTGATTCTTGGCCCCGTCATTTGGACGCCGTGTGGTAATAAATTTAACCCTTGGACGTACACGCAAATTCATACCCCCACTCTGTTTTTTTCATTTTCAATCTATTTTTTTTTAAGAATCCACTACGAAAATGAACAAATGAAAAAGGATTAGAATGGACGATGATCTAGACTCCAATTGAACGTACCACAAAGGAAGAAACAGTTTAAGCTATGTCGTATTTCAAGCCAGGGGCGCTGACTTATTGTCTGAACCAAGTTACAAGCATCTTGCTACTGACCTCTTTGCTAGCCTTTATACAGTCGCGCTCTCCTCTCAGTACGATTGACAGGCTACTGTGAACAATTAACTCTTCAGTTTTATGTTTTTCCGGAGCATTACATTTTAATAGTAATATTTTTTTACTTACATATTACATTTTAGTTTTCATAGGAGTCTAAACAATAGAGAATATAAATTTTTTCAATTTCCAACATGTTTGAACGAAAATTATTCAGTGTGCTAGGACAGTCAAGCATAATTAATCATTTTTTCCCATTTTCTTATTCCAAGTAAAACAAAAAAACAGATTACTCTCGCAGTGCAATAAAGTCTTCTGTACAAATGTCGATCTTGCTGTTCTTCTTCTTGGCAATCTGCTTGCCAGAGCTTATGCTCTGCACTGAGAAAGCTGAGGCGTTGCATGAAATCAATCTTCATAGTAAGTATCCTTTTCTGGCTTCTTATAATGGGGCCTTATATATTTGCCGTACTTCCATTTTTCGTGTGGGCGCATAGTACACAGGTATCATAATGCCATTCCTGTCTACTATTTAGTTCTCAGACATGTCAATGTTGTACTTCGATTTTATCCTTGATTCCTATGTTTTGGGTATGGTAATGTATCATAATGAGTTTGAAAAAAAATGAAACTAAAATTTAAACCATGGATTAAATTGAACCAGAGCATCAACAACAACAAAAAATGACGAAAGAATTCTTGGCAAAACATTTCTGCTTAATGCTTGTGTTTTGTCTGCCTGAGGGGTGGGGAGTATAATTTTTTGTGTGCCTTAGAGCCTAAGGGCTACTTTCGTAAGATGAATTTTTGAAATCAGCTTGCATTTTACCATCAGACTTAATGTTCCATTTCGAGCCCATCGATGACCAATTTGGCAAACTTAAAGATCCAAACTTTCTGAGTGGATAAAACAACTAAGGGAAAAATACCTTTCGTACCTTTTGACAAGTATTTATTGACAATATATCTTTATAATATTTAAGCTTCAAACTACAGTGTGTCCAAAGCATATACACGGATAATTGGAGGAAAACAAGCCTTTCAAGGAGAATATCCCTGGCAGGCTGCATTAGTGTGGCCTGATAAGTCCAGAGGCATCTTCTGTGGTGGAAGCTTGATAAAACCAAGTTGGGTTCTAACTGCAGCCCACTGCGTGCTAAAGGAAGACGGAAGTTTCGAAAGGTTTCTAGTAAGGTGTGTACGTGAGTACGGTCCGAATATTTGTAATCAATAAAAGTTGAGCAAATGTTAAAAAATATGGAAAAATGAGAAAATATTGGATTTAAGGATAGTTAAAAATTAGAATTTAAAGTGAATAATTAATAGACAATTAAAGACCAGACAGTCTGCCACCACAATAAGGTGGCCCTGAGCCAATAGGCCATTTGCACTAAGAGGTCATGTGACATCGTTTTTATGAAAATGAAAGTTGCATGATTTTGCCTTCAAAAAATGATTAGTGAACACAAATTTTGCAGTTAAACTTCAAGGAAAATTTTGAAAAAACGATGTGGCAACGTTTACAGCACATCTGAGCGTAACTATCAAAAGTTTAACAAGATGTAAGCAAAAAGTAGTTTTGGCCCCCATGTTGGAGGGCAAGAGTATGCCCTCCAACATGGCGGCCAATACAAATCATACTACTTTGTTGAAAAATCAAAGTGCCATAAAATATCTCCCTTAAATGCTTTTCCTCTCAAATTTTGGGTGTAACATAATTTTTATGTGCTCTGTCAATTTTTGGCATCAGCAGGACTCCAACTAATTGTTTAAGGAAGTATTGGTCGCGTGACCTCTTAGTGCAAGTGGCCCATTAGCGAACTAACTGGTTTACGTGTATACTCTCTTTTATCCTTCTTTCCTTCATTCCCAATTCAACTCCAATTCCCCCTAAATTCAACTGTTATCCCCTTTAAGACAAGAGACCACTTTTCATAACCATTGTTCGTTTTTTTTGTTGTTGTTTTGTTTGTTTGTTTCTTTATTTGTTTTTTTTGTAGATAGAATTAAGTATTACTTATAGCCAAATTCTTCGAGGAATTTTGGGTTTTTCTGTTCCGTCAATCATCTTAGCGGACCTCTTAGGAAACACATCTTTACTTGTGATTGGTGCATTTCGATCCACTTTGTTTGATTCTGTGTTTTAAGGTTCGTTGCTTGTGGTCGCCTTGTTTCGGGCAATAATCGACTAGTATTCTTCGAAGATTTTTCCGATCATTCTTATTCTTGTCTCTTGCCCTCGACAAAAAGTCCACTCATCATCGCGATTTCCTTCGCTATGCTTTAACAGTCTGGCCCTGGAGCCATTCTCAGTTTTGTTTTTGCATGCCAAGCTAGGCGAGTGCTTTGCATTGTGATTTGCATTAACTCCGCCCCCACTCAAATGATTGACGGAACATAAAAACTCATTCGAAGTTTGCAAACTCGCAGCGCGATACAACGAATTTGGCTATAAAACTAACATAACAGAACTAGATTTAAAAAACCCGTTGCTTAGTCCACATATGTAGACTGCGCACCACGAAGGGCTCACAGCAAGGTGCAAGCCATCGGTTCCACAAAGATACGTTACGCGTAACGAAGCCGTAAGGACGTCTGCGTATCGAAGGAGCTTAGCTGGTCAGCAGTATTACCCTGTCTCAACCAAATAAGAAAGTGCCCTCCGCTGGTATTATATCAGGGAGCTTAAGGAACGGCAACGGCAACGAAAACGGCAAAAAAGCAATAACCGTAGATTAACAAAACAACAACTTTGAACGTGCATCACGCTTTTATTCTACATTTCGTTGCCGTCGTTGCACAACAACAACGTAAAAGTGACTAGTTTCACGTTTTGTCGAGGACGGGAACACAAGACAACTACTTTCGTTTTCTTTTCTTGACTAGGCTTTGATAGAGTCCAGTCCTTTAGAATTCAACTCCAAACAAAATTGCCAACATTTGACGAATTAAACGAGATGGAACAAGCGCGATAAAGTTTAACCCAATGCAAACTCTTTTTTTAAAAGTGACATTTTCGTAACCGTCGCCGTCGTAGTTGCCCCAAGCTCCCTATTACCTCTCTCCTCCGCAGAGGCTCCCGCTGGGTATCCCCATCAAAATATCAATTATCGAAAACATAGAAAGCGCGCGGGGGACGATGGGAAGAGGGAAACGGCGGCCTCTCTTCTCTCTTCCCCCTTCCCATCGTGCCCCGCGCGCTCTCTTTTTCTTTCTCCCCAGCCTCCCCACAACACAAAGAGGCCTCTGCGGAGGAGAGAGCCCTATTACTGTTACGGAGATACACTATTTTTCGGCACATGCATGTACGCACAGGTACACCCAAGCTCGAAATGTTGTCGCGTTACCTTAGAATTACTTATTCAAGGATTTGTATTGGGAAAAAAACTATTTAAAAGTCTACAATTTAAGAATGTAAAGGGATTTCAATAAAAATTAAGCTAATTACCTTCTAAAGTCGTGGCCCAGCTGATTTAGTCGATTTATGTTTTCAAGAAAACGACTCGGGATGA